GTTTAGCAGCCGGAGCTGCCAGTCCATGGGCTGGACGGTGTTTGCCGCCATTCCCCCAAAGGGAGACAGCTGCATATAGGGTGATCCGATTCCATATGGTTGTTGAGGCACATATGGGACCTGATGGATCACATGAGGAGCAGTACGAACGGACGTGCCGTGTGACTGGCTCCTTGGGTGGGTTCCCGAATGCTTAATCGAAGAATTGCGGAAACTATCAGGGTAGGTCGACATAGAAGCCGACTGAGACATGCTCTGACTTCTCTTCTCCTGGATTAATAATCGGGCATCAGAGAAAGTCTTCTTTGACCCATCCGGTTGTATGTGCCGAATGGCCTTTCGCTGCCCTGATTTAGGGAAACGAATTTTTGAAAGGTCGATCAGGGGCCCATCCGCCCCCTTAGGCTTCGGGTGAGGAGTAGGCACCCGGTCTTTAATTGGCTTCTTCACGGAAGCCTTTTTGGCCGACTGGCCCTTGCTGGAGCCAGCTGACTTCTTGATAATGTCCTTGATTTCCCCTTTAAAACTAGTCATGAGATTCATGAGTTCGTCCCTGGTGACGGGAGCAGCCCCCTCCGCCGCCTGGGGTTGTCCGGGGTGCTTGCCGCCTGGGTTTTTGGGGCAAGCTTTGTCTTGGTCCTGTTCCTTCCTTTCTTTGGAACGGGTGCGCCTAGAACGGAATGACCCGTCTGGGGCCATATAGGTTTCGACATTGTAGTCGTCACCGCTTCCACTTTCGTGGTCCGTATGGACCTCAGGGTCAGCCGTGGGCCGGCTGCCCTCTACAATTGGTACATTTTCAGATGTCATCTCAGTGGTACTCTCCCCACAGACGGCGCCAAATGTTTTAGGGTTTTTTGAAGTGTCCTGCGGGAGAGTTACAACACCGGGAATGCACGCCTGACTTCTGTACCTACAAAACCACGAAACTCCGGTTGGGTGGAGTTCCGCCTCCGAAGGTCAAGTTAGTATAATTCCGGATGAGATTATGTGCGGAAAGTAAACGGGTATTTCTCTCGGATTCCGGGAGATTCCGCAATTAATATTGCTCAGGTTTTGTGTGTATTTTCTGAATGCCAATAAATAAGGTAGATTCCTCTATTTATAGCAGATGAAGATCTGCTTCCCCAGTAGTGGTACAATGCCACGTGGCATCCATTGGTTGGATGCCCATGGTGCTATAGGGAGGTGACACGTGTCAGGCCCTCATTGGGCCACGTGTCTAGGGTAATTTTTACCCCAAACATCGGGTATGGTTTTTATCCCCATTCCCGCCCCACCACCCGCCAAACTAATATCCATCCCCGTCCTAGTGGGACGGAGATGGGGCGGGTCTCCTACTTGACCCGCCCCACTGACATCCCTAGACACGATCTATATTGTACCATGTAAATTGGGTACATCACATAGAGGTGTTAACTTAGATGGGCACTCTATAAGTTTTGACATACAAAACGCTTATCTTACATAAGCGCTTTGTATAATTCTAGAGATCGCCTATGTAACTTGATAGTTTTGTATTGTATGTTACTTATTCCACTTTTTTGTGGTAGTGTTAAACATTGAAGTTAGGTTGGGTTCTATTTGATCAAATTTGCTTTTTTGAATAATAAAAAATTATAATTGAAACTTTTTGTAATTTGAATAGCTGATTTTCTAACATTGTACTATGAATACCTATTATATAAACTAGCTCTTAAGTAGTTTGGTACCTACCTACAGTGTCCTTAATTTTACATATATAGTCTTGTAAAAATTTCGATTTCCAATGTTTAATATACTATGAGTAATCGTATTTGTTTATTGCAATGTGAAGCGCACAGCCACGCATCATGCAATTAGATCTGGTAACTATTTAATGATGAAGGGAGTATATTTACAATGCAAAGTTGATAGTTAAGTGTAGATGCTAACTAGTTTATTTGAAAATATTTAAGGAGTGGTGTGAAACAATGAAGTTAAGTTCGTTGTGTTAGAGCAAGATTAGCGCAGTCTTGTCTTAAGACTTAAATCTATTGTCATATCAGTTATTAGCTTAAATTTAATTATTTATTTTTCATTTAAAATTATGTTAAGACTCCTTAAGACTCAATCAGATTTATTTCTTCATCCCTACGACTCATTTTAGATTTCTTTAAAATATTTATTATTTTTTTTCCTTTTAACATATTATATTTTAATATTAAAATTCACATTATGCAATATAGATGATGCATAAAATTGTTCTAAAAAAAAAAATGATGCATGAAAATAAATTATAATGGAATTACTTGAAATTTAAAGATTTTAAAATACATGAAAAATTAAATAAAAAAATTAAAAAAAAAAATAAAAACATATTGCATTAAGAAAGTTGTAATTAAAATAAAATTGACTAATGTAAAATTGATCTGAACCCCAATACGACTTTTTAAAACTAATTTTTTTATATTATATATTAAAATTGTATATACGTAGTAACATATTTTATGTTATTGAAAATGAATACAGTAAAATGAAGGTCCACAATCCAACGATGGGTATGGATGCTCTTCAAGTTTTTCTAGTAAGTCTTGCTGCAGCTGGATGCATACACTTTGTTTCCAAAAAAAAAAGAAATACAACGTATATTTACAATTTTTTTTTATATAAATCAAATGGTTAATGTTTTTAAAAAACAAAAAAGTTAATTAATTTTTTTTAATCAAAACACTGTGTTTTGATATGTATATAAGTAAAAACACAGTGTAGAAGTGTTAAGTTGAGTCTTGAATTTTCAAGACTCCACTTGAGATTTTGTTAAGACCAAGCCACATAAATGCATAAAAAAAATAAAGTCTTGTCTTAAGACTACAAAATCATAAATTGATGATGTCACCTAGAGTTTTAAGACCTATGGCTAATCTTGCTCTTATATTCAATCGAATTTGCTTAATTAAATTATAAATTTTTCAATAAAAGTTATTGGAACTTATTGTAATTGGGATTTTAATCTATTGTGTATTTGTGGATTGAATCGATTATAGTTGTGAACTAGATAATCCCCAAGCGATGCTCGACTTTGCAAATATAGAAAAAAAAAATTGCATGCGTTATGATGATATAAATTTTAATTTAAACAATACCGATAACATAAGAGTTAATTAACCATGACAATTTCATTGACTCTAAATCTATAAATACGCAAAAATAATTTTAAAGGGAAAAAATAGAAATAAAGCAATACAAAAATCAAGATTTTAGGTACTTAGTAATATGAAAAAAAAAAAAAAAAAAAAACCGTATTACTTTAGATTATTCATACCAATTTTTTGGATTCATGGTCATTGAAAAAGAATTTAGGTTGAAAAATTACTTTAGGTGTTATTCTTTCCTGAAAATTAGGATTTTATTTTCATTAAAAAAATAAAGCAAAAAAGTATAATTAAAAAAAAAAGTGGGTTAGGAGGGAAAATGGGGTAATTTGGGAGGGAAAATCTACTAAAGCGGTTTCTACTTTAGTATAGTACTAATTCTTTGCCCGAGCAATGTTCAGATATTCTTTTTTTTAGTACTCTAAGTTTGTATATGTTTATGAGTTTTGTATACATTAAATATCTATTTACGTTATCAAATTATTATAGAAGAAACATATTAATATAGAGTATCTCTATTTTTGTAGTTTGCTATCAAATCATGAATTTAATATTGAGTTAGAATTCTTTTTTTAGTAGGATATGAACATTTCATTTTATAGATTAACGAATGAAGATTCAAGGAAATATGGAAGATTTTCTAATCTTAATATATAATTAAAACTTTCTAGTTTGATGATTTCTATCTGTAACAATAATAAATTTCAGTTGAATTGATTTAGAAATTTGAAGGGTATAAAATCACGATGAAATATATGTTGTTCGTTATTTTAAATTAGTTATCTCACTTTTCTTATTTATTTATAAAGCAAAGAAAAAAATATAGGAGTATTATTTATTTAAAGTTGTTGTTATTGTTCTTTTTTTCTTTTTCTTTTTGGTTGTTTAGGCGGTACATTTTTTTTTAAAATAAATTATTTTATTATTTTTTAAGGAAAAAAAGTTTTGACGGAAAATTTTTTGTTGTGAACGCGACATGTGTACTTTTAGGATAATTTTGGTGATTAATTTAGTATATAGTATTGATATTGAATAGATTGAATCTTACTATATCTTATGTTAACTTATCTTTATACTTCAATAAGCTACATACATACATGAACTTGTTTTATCACAGGGACCCCGGATCAAAGCAGATAATATAATTCCAAAATCCAAAAAAGTTCAGCCTCATACAAGTAATACAATTGAAGATTTATCCACATTACTATTCTTATGACTCTCCATACAATGAATAATAAAATGTGATTTGAACTACGAGTATTCTTTAAAGCTTGGATTTATCAACAATAGTCGCTTTCAACATTGGTATCTAAAAGTGATATTTTTGCTGCCTTTGGAAACAGCAAGAAAGTATACAGTTTCATCAAATCTATCTATAAATAACACTAAAGTAGCATCCGCTGACGTTATTATTGTCCATGTGGCAACTTTACAAGAAAAAATTTCCCGCCTAAATAAATCTGAAGTCGGTATATTTTACTTTGAGCACTTATTGAGTATATTAAATAGTTTTTGGATTTTTTTTATTTTTTATGTAAGTCTATAATCACAACCTCTTGATAAAGATTGACTGATTCCTGGTCACTCCTTATTTATAACAATTAATTGTTTTGTTAATATTCCATAGTAATATGCTGCTCATAATCTTTTTTTTACGCAGAAAGGAAAATATCATATTATATCAAAAGTGACAGAAGCCACATTAGCAAAAGACAGGCATAATTGTTCGTTGCCTTCAAACCATAAACAAAGCCTAAAACTAAAGCTAAAAGATAAAGATAATAACCAGTTGCTAAAACTAGATAGCAGTTCACAAAAGCAGTCCCAATAGAACCAGATTGTGCAAAAGAAAGAAGTAGACCACCATCATTATCCGAATCAGAGCTAAATGGCCACCATTTCAGGGATGTCAGAAGCATAATCCTGGAATAGCTCCGCTGGAGGGTAGTGAAAGAGAGATATTTCTCCTCTTCTGATCTTAGATCTTCCCATGGCTGCAAGTTTATCAGCAACACAGTTGATGCTTCTATTAACATGAAAGATAGAAACTTTCCAATTTCTACAAATGATGGAGACAACATCACTGATAGCATTGCCCAGATCGTGGTTCTTGAAAGCATCAGGGTCTTCTAACATCATCTTAAGGGCTTCAGCATCTATTTCAAGTTCCAGTTGTTTGATGTCTCTAGCCCAGACGATTAGTAGACCCTCCTTGATGGCTAGAAGTTCAGCAGCTGCTGCGGACATGGCATTAAAATTGATAGCAAAGCCAACCTGCCAGAGCCCCTTTTCACATCTCATAACACCCCCACCACCAGCATTGTCCAAAGCCATCCAAGACCCATCTGTATTCAGTTTAAAATGGCCTTTATGGGGAGGAGCCCATTTTCTGGTTATAGAATCTGTAGAGGAGGAACTTCCAGCAGCCTGTCCCTGTTTCAAGTTTAAAGTGTGATGGTAATCGACCCAAAACTTATTAAAAGTTGAATTTAAGAAAAGCATTTTATTTTCGAAAACAGCCATGTTTCTAGTATTCCAAAGGTGCCAAATACCAACCACAAAAATAGTTTTCCAAGTGAAACTATTAGTTAAATTAAAACACAATCTATCTGTGGGACTACTATTGAAGAAACTATGAAAGTCAAAGCCAGGAGGAGCTAAATGATTAAACAGTAAAGACCAAAAGGCAGAAGAGTTTGGGCAATCTCTGAAAACATGGATAGTTGTTTCAACAGGGGCTTCACATCTCATGCAAAGGGGGTCAAAAGAAGGGATTTTCCTATGGAGACAATAGCCCACAGGAAGAATACCTCTAACAAGATTCCAAAGCAACATTTTGTACTTAAAGGGGACTCTTATTTTCCACATTTTTTTCCAAGAGAAGGTAGATAAGAAAGTAGAGTTAAGAATGAAGATAGGATTAGTCAAAAAAAATAAAATAAAAATAAAAATAAATATATAAATAAATAAAACCCAACCTCCCTCAATATATTCTCTCCATTCTCTATATGCATGGCATCAGATTCCTTAATCCTAAAGGCCTATTCCCCTTCTATTTTTCACGACTTCTCCAATGGCACCACAAGTACTTTCTGCAAATGCTACTAACTATAAATTATTTGAAAAATAATTGATTTAAAATAAGTTTATAATCATTTACAAGTACATTGCAAATAGATGAGCATAATTTTCTGTAAAAACCGTGCGATGCATGGGCCTAACTTACTTAAAGAACATATCCTTATCCTTATGTTTGCATTTATTCAAAGGAAAAATTGCCATGATTAATCCCATTTTTCTTCGTATAACAATATTAATCCCAACTTTTGTTTATTTTTTATTAATCCCAACTTTATACCCAATCCGCTCCCATTGCACCAAACTAGCCATCCAACTTGATATACCAAGTTACCAGACACGTGTCAACACGTGATTGAATTGGTTCAAAAAAATTAAAAAAAAATTGAAATAAATTTTTAAATAATAAATTTAAATAAATTTTAAAAAAATAAAATAATTAAAACCAAACCGAGCAGGGTGGCAAGCGGCAGCCCCTTCCACCTCCGACCAATCCATCCTTTCCCTCCTCCATTTTTCGCCTTCTTCCCCACCAGTTTTCGGCCACCATAGCCTTCTCTCCTCCGATTCCGGCACTCTTAGCTTTCCCCTCCCTCGATTCCGGCACTCCTAGCCTTCCCCTCCCCTGATTCCGGCAACCAAAGCCTATCCTTCCCTCGATTTTCGACCACCACAGCTAAATCCATCCACTCCCTCCCTTCCCTTCCCCGATTTCGACTACTTCTTCTTAGTGATCGCCGCTGCCAGAGGAAAATCCCAAAAATCCAAACCCCCAAATCCCAAACAATAACACTAACAATTTCTCCAACTCAATTACCACCTAGAGCTGGAATTCGGGCCGTGCTGTGCCAGCTCGGGCCGGAAGAAGGGTCGAGCCGTGCCGGGTTGAGGTGAAGGCGAGTCGTGTCGTGCCGTGCTTCAGATTACATACCCTAGCCCATGGCACGACACGACCCACGTGCCTGGCGGACCGGGTCATGCCGGGCCGCAGGCCAGCCCAGTATTTTTATTATTAATAAAATAATTTTATTATTAATTAATTAATTTTAGGAAAAATACACTTTAATAATCCCAAATATGGGCGATTTACTTCTAATAATCCCAACTAAGGCTTATTATCGACTAATCCCAACTATGGGGTCAGTTTGCCTCCAATGGTCCCAACCGGTCAACACAAATTCAACGACCTATTATAACAAGTTACCATGACACGTGTCAACACGTGATTGGTTCAAAGTTAAAAACAATTAAAAACAAAAAACAAAAAATTCTCAGACCACCGCCAAACCCTAACCCCAGCCATTAACACGCTGGATACCGGCCAACCACCCCCATTAATCACCGAAACCAGCCGGCCGGCTCTCTACGACCCCATCTAACCTACCCATGACCCTCGAAACCATCCACCCAGCCAACCTGACCCCAAAAAACACCAACCACAACGACGAGTTTCCGCCGTTTACTGTGACGAAGAGGGTGGCAATGAGAGGGAAGATTGAGGGGTCTGCCCAACAAATTAGTTTAGCCCTATAGCTGAAATCGCCGGCGCAACGATCACGTTGAATTGCTGCTGTTGCGGTGATTCTTGAATGTGCGTCGGCGGTGATTAGGGTCAGGGTGGCTGGTTTTAGGTGTTGGGGGTAGGTTAGAGATGGTGGTAGAGGGCCGGCTGGCAGATTTCATTGGTAAATGGGGGTAGCCGGCCAGTTTTCGACGAACTTAGGGGATGGGGTTTTGGTTTTTTTTTTCATTTTTTTTTTAATTTTTTTGATATGTTGTTTTTTTAATTTTAAATTTTGGACCATTAACATGTTGTCACGTGGCTATTAAAAAAAAATAAAAATAAATAACCCTTTCAATAGGTCACCGGTCATTGGGACCATTGGAGGCAAACTGACCTCATAGTTGGGATTATTAGATAATAAACCTTAATTGGGATTATTAAAAGTAAATTGCCCAAAGTGGGGATTATTAAAGTGTATTTTTTCTTTATTATTAATTTATTATATTTCTTTTTATTATATTTATTTTATTATTTATAGTTTTTTTTTTATTATTTTTATTATTATGGGTCGTGCTGGCAGGACATGCTGCGGGCCAAAAGTTTGTGCCGCCCACGGGCTCATGCCAGGTTCGTGTCGATTTTATTTTTTTAGTTCACGGCAAGACCCACCCCTCGTTCCTCGTGCCGTGTCGGGCCGCTAGCGGGCTCGTGTCATGCCGGGTCGCTGCTGTGTTGTGCCTTTGCCGCCCACGGGCCGGCCGGGCCCATGCCCAGCTCTTTTACCACTGTTACCATCACATGTCTCAACCCCAACAGCAGTTGTAGCAACTGCCAATGCTTCGCCTTCACCGTCAGCGGCGATGATAAAGGGAGGAGAGAGAGAAAAGGAAAAGGAGTTGGGGGTGGCAGCAGCGCTCGGGGGGAAGGGGAAAGGGGCAGGCACCGGGGGAAGGAAGAGGGTCTGGGCGGTGGCCGACGCTCGAGGGGAAGGGAGTTAGGCTGGCCGTGGGTGGCAGCGGGCTGGCTGTGGGTGGCTAGGTCGGTGGTTTCAGGTTTTTTTTTTATTTTATCTTTTTTATTTTTATTTATTTTTTGACCTATCACATGCTGACATGTGTATATTAAAAAAAATTATAAATAAATAAATAAATAAAGCTACTCAACATGTTACTGATCACCTGGGAGTGTTATTGGCAGACAAGGTATAAAGGATTAATAAAAACTAATCCAAAGTTGGGATTAATATTGGCGGATGAGGCAAAGTTGAGATTAATCATGACAATTTTTTCTTATTCAAAAGAGAAATAATGAATACGGATAATAAAAAAAAAATAAAATAAAATAAAATAAACTAAAATAAATAAATTAATTAAAAATGAAAAAAGAGCTTAATTTGAGGAGTCACTCTACACTTCTCATATATTGAAATTAGCTAATATGAATGATCTATACTAGTGCTAGTATATTACCTATGTCTATGCTGACAGAGACCTTAATGTTTACGGTATCATTGACATAGTTGAGGTTATTCCTCGTTCATCATATTCCAATCATCTGCAAATATAATATGTATCTCGGTTAATGTACTCCAACTATCCCTTGGTTTTGTACCTGATATGCTTACGACACCATAGATTTCATGGGATTCCAATAGAGCTTTAAATGTTTTAACCCCGGCCCCTTTCTGTTGAAATTATAAATATAGAGATGAGATAGAGAGAGGGGAAGGTGTAAAATAGTGTAATTCTCCTTAATCAGAGTATTTTCATTGATTGAGAATATATAGGATATTTAACAACAAAATTATGAGAATACATATTTATCTAGGTAACAATTACCTTTGCTTTGGCCTTCTTATCCATACTTACAAAACATTAATGATCTAGGTCGTCAATCGAAATGCTCTTTAGTTACTCGTCTGTTTTGCTTGTTGGGTTGTATATGAACTTGATTTTTCGTGATTAGCTGCCCTTTTTTTGTCTTCTCTTCCCTTAGATTCAGCTTAAATATTGCCACAATAATTTGAAACCATTTTGTCATGTAGGGAAGAAAGAAGGCTTTAGAGAATTGTTTGTCAAACTTGGCGATGTACACACATTAACTTCTATATATGTAGAAGTAGTATATATTTTTCAGTATCAAAGATCAATCAATTAACACTTTACAAATTTAAATCATTGAGAAGCCAACAATAGAACGTAACTCTATTTTCGATTTTACCATCAAATTTGTAACAAATTATTTTTGGATATAACATGTTTAGTAATTGATTTCTTTGGATTTTCTTTCTTTTACCTAGTAATTTTTAATGGGTTATTGAGATTTTTTTTCCGTGGGTTGTTTCTATATGTAGCTAATTGTGTGGTAACGCCTAGAGGTGTTAATTCGGGTGTCCGAGTTATGTTCGGTGAGATCGGGTCAATTTCTAAACTTGAGTCATGATAGTCGAAATCTAAATTGGATATTTTTTTAGTCGGTTTCAGATTATGTGTAGTTTTGACATCTCTACAGTATCGGTTTTGAGAAGCCTTGTAATTTGTGAGAATGTGTTGTGGTTTTGGTATTTAATTACTAATTGTAGTATATGTATGCATGTTGCAAGGGTTTATTGTTAGCACGGCTTGTGTATTTGGTTTTATATTAGAAATTTGCAATTCATCGAATAGTATTAGTTTTAGGGTTTTTATAAATCTGATGTTGATGGGGGTTTAGGTGTTGCTAATAATCTTACAGTACTAGTCTGATTTTGGGTTTGGAGGACCAAAAAGAGCACCAAAAGAATTAACCATTATTACCGTCATCACGAAAATGTTCTTGGCTTGATGAATCACATACTTCACCACAATATGTAGGCAAAGAAGAATCCCATGGAGATAATAACTCCCTAGGCCCAACACCACAAATATGTGAACACACCAGTGATTTTGAATCAAGTTGCCTAGCTTGGTTTTGTGGTTAAAAAAGCCGGTAGAGAATTGAGTCATCAACCCCATTAGAGGAATTGCAAACCCAATTATTGTCTTAGGTAAAAGTTATCACGTCAGTCATGGATCGGAGATCTTGTCATCTATTGTCGGCATGCGACCTTGGACGAGAAATACATTATTTAATTTTGTTTTAAAATCTGATTAAAAACTTGGATAAAGATACCAAAATAATGCAACTAGTTGATGTAGGTGCAGTGACTAATCTAGTATTTTTTATTGCGGGTTCAATTAACATGAAACAAATTATATAATTATTTGTATATTAA